ACCTGTTGTGCCCCTGTGGCGAGATGTTCTGCTCCTGGACTAGCTGGTTGGATCTATTCTCTACACTCTCCCCTGCAGAGGTTGCAGCTGCGGGATTACACCTCAGGCGTGTATGCCAGGCCTGAGCTGTGCCGGACCTGGGCTAGGACTGGGTCTCTCTCTGATTTATTTTAATAACCAAGTTTGATAAATGCTGAAGACCAAGACAAGAAAGGTAATATGGCTTTAATAGAATCACATAGGTGGTTGGTAGAAGTGCCATGGAAAATGCCCACATATTCAGGATGTCATTCAGTGTAGAGCTATGTTGAAAGTTTCTCCACACTGTAAGTTGTCACCTCATCTTAGTTCAGGCCTAATGGAAAGGAAATGACATAAAATTAAAACTTAACCAGCCTTTCTGTCTTTCAATCCAGAGATGAAAATATATACATTTTAAAGGATGAAATGGGCCAGCCAAATATCTCAGTGGATTAAAGTGCCTGCAGGCAGGCTTAGAGGCTGGAGGTTTGTTCCCTGGGCATGCCTACCTGGTCCTGCCCCCGACCCCAGGGTGTGCTGCAGTTGAGACTGGGCATGGTGACGTGTGCCTGTAATCCCAGCTCTTGGAAGGCTGTAAACAGGAGAATCACTATGAGCCCAATCTAGTAGTGAGACCCTGAACACCCTGTAGACCCTTCCCTAAAATACAGGGGGAGAAAAAGGATGGTGAATGAAGCAGTTTCAGACCCATAAATACTGACAGTTATCGATAAGTCTTAGACTTACAGCTGTTGGTGAGCATATTTAAAAATGATTATGCCAGAAGCAGTGGAGCACCACTATAATCCCAGTTTCTCAGGAGGTTTGCACATTGGAAGCAAGCCTGGGCAATAGTGAGACTTTTTCTCAAAATTTTAAAAAGGACTGGAGATGTAGCTCAGTGATACAGCACTTAACCTAACATGCCTGAGGTCCTGGGTTCAATCCTGAGCACTGTAATCAGTCAGTCAATTGAAATACTGTGACTATAAAGAAACACTAGTTTTACAGCAGATAAAAGTAAAGAAATAAAGGAACACTGGACTTGATGGGAAAAAAAGCAGCACGATGGTATGTACCATGAGTGTAGTAGGAGAGACAAAGCTAGTTAATTTTGGCCTGCAGGAACTAGCAGAGATTGTCCTGCCATTTTAGCAGAAATGTAGCTTTAAGGGGGTAATAGCAACCTTCATTTCTGCTTGTAGATTGAAAGTGAATGGTAGTAAGACCAGTTTAATATGCAGAGCTGCCTGTGACTAATCCAGCAGGTTGTCCATTTTGTTCTTGTTAAGGCTGTTACCTTATTTCTAAGAATATACTGGTTTTTAGGGGACAAATCTTCTGAGAACTTAAGAATCTGGGTAATTCAAAGATCTTGTCTATGTCAAAAGATAAATTGTATTGTGCAAGGTTGAGAAATAGCGTAAAGTAATCCTCTTCACTACCTGACAGATTCATTTTCTTTCTTTCCTCTTTTTTTTTTTTTTAATCATGTATTTAGTACAGAGTCTCACTATATAGATCAAATTTGTGGTGATTCTTCTGTTTTCAGCCTCCCAAACACTGGGCTTACAGGCCTGCATCGCCACACCCAGCCCAGTCTCAATGGGCACGCCTGGGATCAAACCCCGGCCTCTACACTCTGCCTAAGCAGGTGCTTCAGTCCGCTGAGCTATCTGGCTGGCCTCTTTCCTCTCTGTAATGGAAGTTGTTCAGTCTTTAAGAATAATTTCATTTCTTCTTCTAGACACAATAACATCCCAAAAGCTACAACAGAGTTGTGATTTTTTCCCCATGATAGAGAAAAAAGTATAATTTCATATTTATTGGAATTTTAAACGTGATTGCTCACTTTAGCTAGTATAATTTTCAAACACATAAAGCAGTGAGTTCCTATGCTTGAAAACTACTATCAGGTAAAGGGGGTCAAGGGGAGTGAAGAAATAAGTCTTAATTTTTTTCCTTAGCCAGAACATTGCATATTAAAGAAACTGTTTACTAGGTTGTTGAATCCTAGATAATGCAACCTACTTTGCTCTCATTTTGGGCTCACTGTCAATTACTGAGAGATTAAAATGTCCTCTATTATAATATCCATTATCTTTTTCTTAAATTGATATAAGGTCACAGTACCTTTATAGATAGTTATCAGAAAAAAAAGATGAGGTTTCTTCTACCTTCACCAGCTCCTCTCCCCACCTGCCTTATCTCCCATTACAGGATAATAATGAATATGTGAAGTTATATTCTTTTTTTTTTAAGTAATGTGTTTATTTGTTTTGTTTTTCGGCAGAACTGGGGATAGAACTCAGGCCCTTGCACTTGCCAGGCAAGCACTTATTCTACTGAGCCATCTCCCCAGCCCCGAAGTTATATTCTTGAAGTCTGGTCTAGCTCTTGTGTGCTTCTGCAGACTGATTTTCTTAAATTCCTCTGTGCTGTTCCCATGAATCTGACCTAATTATACTGACATTTTTCAGAAATGTGCCTTAGAAGTCATGTGTGCCTAATTCTGAAAATAGTTTTGTACATTAAGGCTCATTTACCCACACTAGTGGTTAGAGAAAAGTTGAGAGACTTAGTTATTGGTCATAATTTTAAAATGCAGTAAGAGCGTGGAATTCTGCTCAAGTACAGGAATGTAAAATGTGATGTCGACTTCCCACTCAATAGGAATGTTACAATTTAGCTTGTATCTTACTGATCAGGTTGTCACAAAAGATATGTTTAGTCATGGACGAGAAAATCAGTGTCCCGCATGCGAATAGTAATAGGGTAATTGGGTTTTCACAGGGGGAATGATTTGTGTACATTCCTGGGTTTGTATAAAATGGTGTCCTTTCAGCACAAGCTGAATAGAAATTTCAATAAATGTTTTTTCTTGCTGCAGATTAGTGTAACACAGTGACATTTTCTGTAACTGAAGGAGACAGTGGTTGGACATCTGTTAAAATAGCCTGAAAGTAACTGATGAGGATGTGCAGTCCGAGCGATTGATTGAGTGGATAGCTGCAGTCCTGTGTGTTTCTTTCTCACTTGCTCTCTCTCTCTGCAAGCTGTGGAGAGGGAGGGGGAAGAGCAAGACAGGGAGGGAGCGAGAGGAAAAAACGCTCTCTCTTAAGTGGAAGTAGCACGGATCCCAGGGGCCAGGAGGCCAGAAATGGAAGTTTAAACTGCATCTGTCTTAAAGGGAGAACAGCAGGGATCAAAATGTCAGTCTCCGGAGTTACGATTTATACCTTATTTTTTAAGATCTGGAAGATAACACAGAATACTTTTTTTAGAATGTGGGTTTTTTTTTTTTTCTTGTCCATGTTGAGATTATCTAATGTTGTCTGAGAAGCTGGATTCCTATGTCTGTCACTTGAAGTGGAGATGGGAAGCAGTTGTGATAAAGGTATCATATGTATATATTTATCATCTGTATTTGCGTACGTATGTGCATATATATGTGTGTGTATATATATATATATCACTGTGAAAAAAATCTTAAAATGTAGCCTTAATACAGTTTATAGTAATTAAATTATAGAGCATCACATCATCTGTAAAATCTTAAGCTTGTTAGGTTAGTCTGAACAAATTTAAGATTCCAGAGTAAGATCTTAGTAAGGTCATATTGCCAGAACAAGGAAAAGCTGATCTATTTTTGTATCTGCATAGGCATATACATTATTTTATTCTGGCAGCAGCTTTCAGTCTTCTCAATGGCCCTTTTGTTGCAGTCTGGTGAATCATCTTATCTGCACAGATCTGAACTTTGACCTTTGTGCAAACACCATCAAATCATGTTTAACAATAGACTATATTTTGTTCATAAGAATTTTAGAAATTTCTTTTATTCTGTTAACACTTACATTGCTGATCTATACACTACAAGATGCAAACATTAAGTGAACTTAAAGTTACTAATTATACCTCAGAGGAAATTATTTTTATGTGTGCACATTTAAAGGTATAAGTTGTCACATTAAAGCAGATTCTTAACTCTTGACCAAGTCTCTCTAATGTCTTCATAGGTCACACACCACAAAGAGAGACAGAGTATATCAAGAGGGAATGTAATACACCTTTAAACAAATGGATTTTTTTGTTTAAAAAAAGGGCAGTAATTTTACAGTACAGTGAAGGATCTTAAATTTTGGGTTCTTAACAATGTTTTAAATTTCTTCCTCTTTTCCAGAGGTACCAGCAGAAAGGTCCCCCCGTAGACGGAGTATCTCAGGGACCAGTACATCAGAGAAGCCCAGTTCCATGGACACTGCAAATACTTCACCCTTCAAAGTACCAGTAAGTGTTTCTTTTCTCTAGAAGAATATTTTCCTTTTTTCCTTTCTTTATAGAGACAAGAACTAAGCAATATGAACACTTTCTTTCTCAGGAGTTTCCTTGCAATACTGAGGTTAAAGAACAGAGTTACCAACTTACACAGATTAACTAAGTTAATGACCACTACTTGCAGCACAAGGCTTAAGTTTAAAGAATGTTACACTAAGTACATTATATATGTCAAATCCTTCTGAACTATAGAGTGTAAATCTTTACAGATGCCTTTTATCAAAGTTACTATCTAAAACTCATAATTCTATAAAGATACTGGAAAGACTTTTCTTATGTATGTGTTTTTTAGGAAAAGGTCTACAGGATGTTCAGGGTCTCAGTACTACTGAAGTCATAGTAATCCTCCTGTTTACAGCCTCCCAAGAGCTGGAATTACAAGCATGCTCCACCACACCCAGTCTCAGTGGTGCTGGCAGGCAGGCCTGGAGTTCGAATCCTGGCCCCTGTGCCTGCTTGCAGACACTTTAATCCACTGAGCTATTTGGCCAGCCCTACTGGAAAGACTTTTTTAAAAGGAATTTTTTCCCCAGTGTTAGATCATAAGCAGAGAGTGGTTAAGACTCAGTTGCAGAGCAAATTCACCAGGAATTAGTTGTGAATTCTACTCCTGAACTGGCTTGCATTTTGCTTCAGTGATATTTCAGTGACAATGTAAGTATTTAAGAAATATCCTCAAAGGTGACTCCATAAACTGATCAAGCAGTACAGAGAGTCAATGCTTAGCACAAAAGTATGCTTAGTTGGAAGGGCTATTGGTGATCAGGTCAGCTGGCCAGTAGATGAGGGCCTGGTTTGGAATCTTTGTGGGATAACTCTGAGTAACTTGGGTTTTTTTTTTGTTTGTTTGTTTGTTTTTTTCTTTTTGAAGTTTTATTGATAAACATATAGCAATGAGACAGTTTCAAATCAAATTGAAAGTACAGTTTCAACAAATAATACACTGCATACATTCTTCCTAGTGGTTAATTGCTGTACAAGATGCAGACATGTGATCCTACTTACAAACACCAGTAACTTGGTTTTAAGGCATCTCTTTTCTTTATTGGGCAAGAAGTGTACTTACTTTTTAAACATATACTAAAATTTATACTTGAAAAGAACTGCTTTAAGAGCTTGGCTGTTATTCTAGGAACAACTTAAAAAATCAATGTAAAGTAAAAATAGGCATTTCTATTTGGAAGAAAAAGGTAATTTTTTTTTAATTCAGGTAAATTACATGATATGTTCTTTATTTCTTTATTCCAATACTTTTTAAAAGTTGGAATGACCTTTAAATTTAACTGACTTTTTGAAACATAACTAACATTGACATGAAAGTTAAAATTGCTGTTTTATTTTATATTAATCACAGGCAACACAATTTCCCCTTTTTTTATCTGACAAGCATATACATTTTGAGTATATCTGTTCTTGTGATACCTTAAAAGTTTTATAAATTTTCTCATTTTTAAAGACCACAAGTGGTGTTAGATTAATAATCTCATAAAATTATTGCAGGAAATTTAAAACCACATTTAGTGCCTTGTAGTACATTTGTTTGATAGACATAACAACCTATATTTTATTTTCTTTATGAATAAGAGAAGAATTTTTTTCCTTTCCTCTTCCTGTTTTCCTAATGAAGTTACCAATAAAGTAAAACCATCCAAATAGTTTAGTCATGTACTAGTGGAATTTAAAATTCAGCTAGAATTTGATGTTTTCACACCATTATGCTACAACCAAGTCATAAATTTTTCTAAAAAGTTAATAAAGAATATTTATCTGCAACATGGTAGCACTGAAGTATGTCTAATAGTAACTATGCAGTTTATTGTCAGACTTTTAATTTTTTCAATTAATTGCAAATCATAATTTTTATTTGGTTAAACAATAAATTGACAGTTACTTTAAGATTTATCTTTTAAAAAATAATCATTCTTGAGTAAAGATTATAGCATAATAATGTGCATATGTGAAATGTAGCACTGCTGAAAAACAATATACCTATTTACTGGTTTTAAAAGTAATGAAGAAGAAAGCAAGATGGCCTACAATCCCAGCATTCTGGGAAGTTAAGGCAGGAGGAGTGCAAGTCTGGGCACCTTAGCAAGCCTCTCCTCAAAATAAAATAACACCAGTACAAAGGCCTTGGGTCAGTGTTAGGATTACAAAAAAATAAAAAAGGAAAGAAAAGGGGTTTTGACCAGCAAATTGCAGTCACAAAATCCATGTACTTCCCTGTTATGGAGAAGTTAACCACTGGCAAATCTTAACCTAGCTTACTGAAAAATAACCATATAAACACGGTGATTAAAAGAAGAGGGGGGAAAAGTCAAAGAGTAGAGGATGGAAATAGAGAAAATGAAAGGTGAGAAATCATGAAAATGATCTGAATCCATTTAGTACAAAGGCATATAGCCTTATGTTTCTTAATAATCCTTAAGGGTACCGTTGTATTTCGGGATGGTGCATAGTATGTATAGAAAGCAAAATTGATAATAATGATCCTGAATCATTAAGAAAAAGTGGCACTATATTTGTCATGTTGTTTTTTTCAAACTGTTTTGTGATAAATTAATTACCCATTGAGAATATTTAAAATCTTGAAGATATGTGATGTTTATAAAACTTATTTCGAGAAAAATCTGATTTGTGAAGTGCCTTACTCCTAGATAAATAATTTATAATGTAAAAGGAACCAAAATCTGGTAGCTAAATGAGATACTACAATATTTTCTTGGCTGTCTACAGATGTACATTTCCTTTTTTTTTTCAGTTTCAATGTAACACTAATAGCTAATATAATTTACTTAAATATATTTCTAATTAAAAGTATGAAATGTTTTCAGAAGAACATAAAATATTTATGTAATTAATAACAATGGATCTGAATATGGCAAAGTAATAAAAAGAGCCAAACTTTGAAGTATTTAACTTTATACTATTTATACAGTATTTTATGTCTTTTTTTTTTTTTTTTTTGGCAGAACTAGGGATTGAACTCAGGCCCTGCGCTTGCCAGGGAAACACTAATTCCACTGAGCCGTCTCCCTGGCCCTATGCAGTGTTTTAAATATCATTTCTGTATCAAATTTAAGAAGAGAGAGAAGTGATATTTCAGCACAAATACTCATGAGTCTCAGTTTTAGTTTATTATTTGGTGAGCATTAGGTTCACTACTCATCAAGTAGACTCCCAAAAGAAGTAGTATGTACTCTCAAAAAGGGCCTTATTCTTCCCACCTTCATTTTCAGTCTTATGGAGAGCAGATTGAATAGATTATAACATTTCCTGACTGAAATTATTCATACATTTATTCAGTGATAACTTAAAAAAGTATTTGTGATTCACCAGTTATTGATAAGTTCTTGGTGTACTGTGTTTTGTACTGGGGACACAAATGGAAACAGAATCTTCCACTCCCAGAAAACCTGTGATCTGCAAAGGAGAGAGAATGAGGGGATTCATAAAGAAGTTAACAACACAATGTGTAAGCTAAGGTTTTGCCAAGGAACAATATTTGAGCTGTGTTGAAAGGCTGAAAGAAAGTAAAATGACAGAAAGTAGAGTATCTCAGCTTGAGAAAATAGCATTTTGGAATACATTATAAGATGATAGGTACTTCCAAGGAATGTGGAAAAGGGCTTAAGACAGAATTTTAAAAGAATGCAGACAAACTGGCAAACAGAAGGTGGGTTGGGGCAAGGCAACGGATGAGTTTATGAAGGCTAAATTATATTGGCTGGTGAAGTGTTTATTGAAATGTTTATCTTTGGTTCAAAAGCTA